CTGTGGGGGTCAGAGGGGAGGGGGCTAGATTCAAACGTCCAGAGGAGTAGCCGGTGATGGACTCTGGGGACTCGGGGTCTCGGACGTGTCGGAGGTCTGGGCCAGGGTTTGGAGATCTGGGAAGCAACGGGGGGCCAGGACTCCTGGGTCCAGTGGGACACCGGCAACCCAGGGCGGGAAAGGGGGGACCCCCGGGCCAAGGCCTGGGTTTGGGAGGGGCAGGCTTCCGCCATGGCGGTGGGAAGAGAGGCCATCTCGAACCCTTCCCTCATCCCTGCCCCTTTCCATGGCCTAGGACTGGCTGGGCCCCCTGCCGCCCCCCAACCCCGCCCAGGCCCAGCTGCAGAGCCATGCCAAGCTGCAGGATGCCATCAAGGTCATGCAGAGGTTTGCTGGGCTGCCTGAGACAGGAGTCCTGGGTAGGCACTCCCCCACCCCCCAGCGCTGCCTCTGCACCCTCTGCACCGCCTGACTGGCATCCAGCAGGCCCAAACTTCAGCTTGCACCTGAATCACCAGAGGCCCCAGGTTCTCAGACGCCCTCAGTGAGCACTTCCTGAGGCCCCCCGCACCAGGGCTCCTGCTCTGCTCTCCTGGGCCCCATCTAGAGAGAGGAGGCGCACCATGGAGGACATGAATCCGCAGGGTAGTTTCAGAGAGCTTGGGTGTCTGGGCAGAGAGATGCTGATGGCCTGTGAGCTGAGACCACCCAGGAGGAGCCTGCCATGGGGCCTGCAGGAGGAGAGGGCCAAGGCCTGAGTCTAGAGTGAAAAGAGGGCCCAGGAGCCGAGGCAAGAGCTCCATCTTTTCTTTTCTCTTAAGCATGATTTTAAACATTATTATTTTATTTACTTATATTTTATCTTGACCAGAGAGAGAGAGGAAAAGTGAGAAAAAAGCCACCAGGTCCGGAACTCAAACCATGGTCAGCTGTGTGGGAGCCCAGTGCCCTTCACCACCATGCCACCTGCCGGCTCCAAGAGCCCTACTTTTGAAAGGCGTGTGATTCCACGGATGATGTGGTCTCTAACAATCAGGGTTAGGAGCTCAGAGGCCAGGAGGGAGGTGTCCATGACATCAACAAGGGATGGGCAAGGGATGGCGGGTGGTGGACGTGCCCACCAGCAGGTGAATTTAGGGCCTGGAGGTAAAACTGAGCACCTCCTCTGCTGGGTTAAGTGGGCAGGAGGAGGGAACGCAAGGGACCTGGCCAGCTCCTGGGGAAGGAGGACTGTTGTCTGTCCTGCCATCGCAGGAGCAGCGAAGGACAGTGTCGGGTTGGATCTTAATCTGAAGGAGAGGTGGAAGCACAGGACAGCTCAGCTGGGAGAGGGGATTCCAAGTAGAGACCAGACAGCCAGAGACCCAGCTGGCCTGGGGACTTTGGAATTTATCTGGATGCATTGAGAACTCAGGAGCAAGGTACCAAGTAGGGGTGGCTTCCTGGGGGAGTACCTGCAAAAGGAGGGGTCCTGCTGCACCACAGGGCTCAGGCAAGCAGGACACTTAGGCATCCTGGCCTGAGCCCTGAGCACTACTTGGAGGCAGTCCACTCGGGGCTGGGAGGGGAGAGGCGCGGCAATGACACGGAGGTCTTCAAAAAGTTCATGGGAAAACTCATGAAGAACTGCGTGGATTTCAAACTTTCGTGTACCAGAATTAATTCATGCTTTGACTCCATTTTCCATGAACTTTTGGAAGTCTTCTTGCCATTTGGCTTCCAAAGTCAGAATGCCAAATTGCCTAAGTCTCAGTTTCCCCGTGTAGAGGACTAGCTGCTGCTGTGACCCAGGCAGGCTGGCCGACTGCTGACCCTAACTGTCGCCCACAGACCCAGTGACTGTGGCCACCATGCACAAGCCTCGCTGCTCCCTGCCTGACGTGCTGGGGGTGGCGGGGCTGGTCAGGCGACGGCGCCGGTACGCCCTGAGCGGCAGCATGTGGAAGCAGCGGACCCTGACGTGGAGGTAGGTCCTGCTGGCCACTCTTGCCCTGGGCCTGCCTGCTGCCAGGCCCCAGCTGAGCACGGCAGCCATCTCCCTCCACGGCCACCCTCCTTCTGTCTCTCCCCCAGGGTCCGTTCTTTCCCCCAGAGCTCCCAGCTGAGCCCGGACACCGTCAGGATCCTCATGAGCTATGCCTTTGCTGTCTGGGGCGTGGAGTCGGGCATGACATTCCAGGAGGTGGATTCCCGGGACCAGGAGCCCGACATCCTCATCGACTTCGCGCGGGCCTACCACCAGGACAGTTACCCCTTCGATGGGCTGGGGGGCACCCTGGCCCACGCCTTCTTCCCCGGGGAGCACCCCATCTCTGGGGATACTCACTTTGACGATGAGGAGACCTGGACTTTTGGGGCAAAAGGTAAAATCTCCCCTCTTGGAGGGATCCTCTCCACAGGTCTTTAAGGTGCGAATTACATTCATTGGTGGGGCCATATGGGACGAGGGTCTCCAGAGACACAGCCCGTAGGCCGTGTGTGCGTGTGTGTGCCCATGCACGAGGGGGTTATCTTTAGGAACTGGCTCGTGGGGCTGGTGGGCTAGCAGGCTCAGCACCACAGGACAGGCCCGCAGGGTGGAAGCTCAGGCGGAGTCCTGCTGCAGGCCCGAGGCCGAGGCCAGCAGACAGACCAGAGGCTGGGAGCACAGGCAGGGCTTCCTCCTCCGGGGAGACCTGTGTTTGCTCGAGGGCTTTGAGCTGATTGGCTCCGGCCTCTAGTTCTGGAGGGCCAGCTGCTCTGATGCAGATCTTCACATCTGCGGAATACCCTCGTGGAAGTACCTAGACTGCATTGGAGCGGACTGCTGGGCGCTGTCTCAGGTCAGACGGGCACCTTAGCCCTGCAGAGGCCTGCTGGGCGCCTAGCTCCGAGCGGGGCCGGAGGACTTAGAGGCAGAAACACCTCTGTCCAGGGCTGAGTCAGAAGAGTAACCAGGAGTTACTTCACACAGGGTGACACAGCCACGGTCAGTGACAACGGGAAGTCCTGACCTGTGGATGCTCAGAGGCAGTGTGACCCAAGGCTCTTGGGCAAGGGGAGGCTTCCGGAAGGGGTGACCCTATTCTCCATTCTCTCTCTCCACACACACACACACACACACAGAGACATGAGTGCCCACATGCATAGGCGCCCCTCCAGAGAGCATGAGGGTGGGGAGCACAGTGAAAGGCAGACCTTGGACATGGGGGTAGTGTGGTGTCAGGAGAGAGGCCACAGGATGGCAGGCCTGCATCACAAAGGCATGGAAAGAGTTTGGACCACGGGGTTCTGAAAGCAAGGGGCCACTTTTGGTGGTTTTGCATTCTAGAAATATGGCCACGGGGGAGGCAGGAGGAGGCAGGGAGGCAGGCGCTGCCGGGTGCAGGTCAGCCCTGTGCCATCAGGGCTGTGGGTGGAGCTGCGGAAGCTGTCTGCGTGGGCAAACTGGGGTCTGGCTTGGTCCTGCAGAAAAGGGAGGTGAGGTGGACGGGCTGACGTCCAGGCTCCATGTGACTCTGGGCCATTTGGGGGCCCCCTGAGGAACAATGTTCTTAATGCAGGTGGGAGCACAGGTGAGAGGAGCAGCTGGCAAGGCGGGCACGTGTGTGCAGCGCTGGGGCGTTCTGCACAGGTGGTCCATGGCAGCTGTGGTCTTGCTCTGGCACTTGGACTCCTCTGTCTGAAGTCAGAAGTGGGGCTCATGGAGCCAGCAGGTGGTGTGGAGGTTAAGGTGTGGGATCCCATATGGTCAACACCTCAGTTTGAGTCCTGGACCCAGCAGCTTGAAAAACACACCTGGTGCGTGTGCATGTGCACCCAAAATCCTGAGAGAAAATGAAGGACCGTGGCATGGCCACCCCAGGGGTTGATCTCTCACTCGCCCCCTTCTGTCTCTGGCAAGTACACAAGTCCTATGGCAAAATCTTAAAAAAAAAAAAAAAAAAAGAAAAGGGGGGCTCAGATGGTAACTTTGTATAATTAATTAATTAACTTATGTATTTATTTGTTGTGAGTTTTAAGCCGCTGGGTCTGGGATTCAACCGCGGTTGGCTGGGTGGGAACCCTTGTGCAAGCAATTCCCTGGGGCATGTGCTTGGGGAAAGGGAAGCAGGATGCGGCCTCAGCTGCAGAGGAGCCTGAGCCCCGGGAGCAGCGGCAACAGCTGCTGGGTTGACCCACCTGGCGACAGGCAGCTCCCTGTGGCCCTCTGCCCACGGCCACAGCTGTGGCTGTGGCTGCAGGGGCAGCCTGTGTGAGGGAGAGCAGTGTTCTGGGGAAGAAGGCAGCTAGGGCGGCAGGCCCGCTGGGAACTGGGCAGGGCAGCCTTGGCATCTATACCACTGAGACTGGGCATTGCAGCGTGAAGACAGTGGGCTTCAGGCTGCCTGTGGCCTGAGGGTTAGGGGATCCAGGTCCCACATAGTTGATCACATGGTTCAAATACCAGCCCCACTGGCTGGAAAGCAGGATTGCAGGATTGCGGCATGACCATGCCCCGCTGGGGGCCTCTCGCTCTCTCTGCCTCTCTCTTGTCTCTGGCAAGTGCACAGCCCAAGTGAGTTTAAAGCGGAACTCATGTTGGGCCACCTCCACTTGCAACACCTGCACGTTACTTAACCCTGCTTGTTGTACCCATCTGCTCACCTGAGACGGGGTCAGAGCTGCACCTGCACCAGCAGTGCGGGAGCACGGGAGCACGGAGCATGACTACATGGGGAGCCGCCTCCAGCTCTGCACTGGCCTAGCTGGGGCGAGGTCGGCGGGTCTGGTGGGTTGGTGGGGTTCCCAGGCAGAGAGCCCCGCAGCTGAGAAGGGGGAAGGAGGAACCACAGAGATGAAGAAAGAACAGGTTGTGGGACCAGCAGTTAGCTTAGTGGCTATGTCGCTGGACTCCCACGTAGTCGACCGCGGTTCGAGTCCCGAACCCAGGGGCTTAAACTCATGCCGGGCGCGGGTGCGTGCGTGCCCAAGATCCCAAGAAGAAAACAGAGGAGAAGGGATTGCGGCGTGGCCATCCCCCCGGGGGGGGTGATTTCTCGCTTTCTATCTCTCTGTCTCTGTCTGTCTGGCGAGCACATGCGCCCTATAGCAAAAACCTCTTCAAAAAAAGAAAAAAGAGGGAACCAGCAGTTTGCGTAATGGCTATGTCGCTGGACTCCCACCTAGTCGACTGGGGTTCGTGTCC